AGCCTCAACCAATGGACTCAGATACACCCTGAACTGGAGAGGCAATAAGAGTGAAACCTGCCAAGGGGTCAGATCAGAAACAATCACTTAAAGAACTGCTTTATTCCACATCCTTTTGCCATTACATTCAACACCACTCTGAGCCACAACATATAAATGATTACATTTCCTTTCATTCCTTTGCACCAGTATAAATGAGAAGGAAGGTGGTGTTATGTTTCTCTGAGAAAATGGTGAGAGGGGTATGGACCTTTAAGGGTTGTACATTTTCTCAGTGTTTATGCATTAGTAAACATACAAGAGGGTACTCTCAGATACCTGTTTTGCTTCAAAGCATGTTCTTGCAGATAACTTTGTTCTTATATTTTTGTTGCTCTTTATTATTCAGAAAGGCTATTTAAAAAAACAGAAAAACAAAAAAAACCACATCACTGCTGAGTGAACACAGTGAATCCCAAGCCCAAGCATTTCTGACTGTCAGATGGTGACATTTTATCTGAACAGGGTTACAATTAACTGGGAAAAAAGGCAAAACAAAGCAAAGGTTAGAAAGAAATGAATATTTAAAACTTGTTCTTGGATATTTGTGGTTGTCCAAGATTTGCTAGGATACCTGATGGTATCTTAGCAACTTTGACAACCGATTAAAGAATCCTTAATTATATTTCTCAACCATGCCTGCTTGCCTGTAGTGCATCTTCAAGCATGTCTTTGCATTTGTATGTGCCTTTATGTGATGGTGGAATTTCTTAAATTCCTGTATCATGTTTGCCATGATAATTAGTAAAGCAGAGTGAATAATTCAAAAAGAATAATTCATCCAATGAATTTGGCCTTTGTGTTTTGCTTGAGTCATTCAAAAAACGATTACAGTTTAATCAGATTCAGTCAGTGTTGTAAAGTGTACAATGATTTCAGAATCAGCTCTCAAACTTGAAAATGTCACAATAGATCAACAAATTCTGGACAGTTCCTAGTTTAGGGAGGACTAACAAGCAGAATAGCTGAATTTAGCCTTGGCATAACTAGGTACAATTCCCTTGGACTTTAATGGGGCCTAGTACCTGCCTGTTTACATAGGGGTAAGATACTTGGTAAATCAAAAACTCATCTGTGACTTTTTTTGAAAGGATTATTACATGGGGCACTGACAGAAGTGACATTTTGTTGTATGATTGCCCCCTGAAGTGCTCTACAGCCGTGCACTGACAGAAGTGCCTGGCTGCAGAGTACTTTAAAAGTGCTTGATCATAAAATCTGGACCTTCCTGACTTGAGGGTTCAAATGAAGGTGCTCCAAAGCAGAGTGCCTTCGTTAACTTATGTCAGCCCCTACCAGGAGCAGGGCTGGGCTGATGCCCCTGGTGCTATCTTCAGCATGGGAGGGGGGAGAAGAGAGGGGAGAGATCTTGGGCTGACATTTGCCCAGACTGCGCTGGAGGGTGGGATGGGTGGGTTGGAGGCGAGGGCTCCAATCCACCTACCTCACTCTCCAGTACAGGTTGGGCAAACCGCAGCCCCAGCTCCCTCCCCTCACTTCTTCTGCCCCCCCCTCCCATTTTGAAGACAACACTGGAGCTGGAACAGGAGGAGGACTAGGGGAGAGAGCTGCAGACACTTAGCCACTCCAAACTGGAGCTTCTTCTTCCAACTCCCTAAACCCAACAACAACCCCCCCAGGAGTTACAGCAGGGAGCTGCATGTCTGTCAGCACCCATGAGGAAACAACAGGCACTGTGGCTATATAGCTGGGGTGGGAAAAATACAGCCCATGGGCTGGATCTGTCCTACAAAGTGACTTTATTTTTATCCCTCACCCACACCACCCCTGGTCTGCACCAGGCCCCTTGGCCACACTGAGCAGCACTGGAGCACCCCCATCCCATGCCAGCCTGCAGCTGCAGCTTACCTCAGGAAGCTCATGTGGCAGTCCCCAGGTCTGCCAGCTCAGCATGGGGTGGAACAGTGTGGCATGGGGACAGTGGCAGTGGTGGGAGCCCTGGGGAGGGTGCTACATCCTGGGGCCAGTCTCCATTGAGACTGGCTCCAGCCCTGGCCCTGGCTCCAGATGCAGCACTGTCACCATGGTTCCCACTACTACTGCTGCCCCCATGCTGCTCTGCCCTGTGCCACTCTGGCCCATGCCGAGCCAGTGGGACTGGGGGCTGAGGGCTTCCCCTACTGCACAGGCATCCTGGAGAAAGCTGTGAACTGGCATGGGATGGGGGTGCCACAGCATCACCTGCCTTCCCCAGTCCCAGCCCAGTCCTGGCCACTGCATGTGGCAGGGTATGCAATTGCTGCCAAGTCCATACCCTCTCTCTCCTGACAAGTGGCTGTAAGTTCCTCCTAAGCCTCCTTTTCAGGGCTTGCAGCCCTCCTCTTCCCATCATACATGCTGCAGCTCCCCAGCAAGCCCCATGGCAGCTTCCAGCTCTGCCACAGTCCCACACCGTCACGACCCAAGATCATGGCTCCAGCCCCAGCCCCAGCTCCAGGGAGCCATGCGGGCAGGATGCCTGGGTGGGCAGGGGGTTGGGGCTGGGGCCAGGATTGTAGGGAAGTTACAGTGTGGGGCTGGGACAGGGCAGAGCTGTGATTTGCTCCCTGCCTGCCCCTGCCTGCAGAACCCATGCCTATAATGGGGTATGCAGGCAGATCGTGGCTCTGACTCAGTCCTGGTACCGTCCTGTCACTGCCCAACAAGCCCACCCTGTGATCCTAGGTTGTCCCACTCCTCCCATTCCTGAATACTTCTGCCCAGGGTTCCATCTCACATAAGGAGTTTTGGTGAGTTTTTGAGGGGGCAGAGGGTGTTGACCCAGCCCATGGCAGCTCACCAAAACAGCTTGTGTGGCACTCAGGCCCAAATAATTGCCCACCCCCACTACAGAGAATATTCAATCATATAAGAGTGGACAAATTTGTTTGGATGGGCTATAGGGCTGCCCTCTGGCCTTTGAGGAAGGATTCCTCCTCCTGCTCTATTCTTAACAGATTCACTTGGACTGGGTAACTTAAGTGTGTACTTACCCTTTAGGGATTGTAATGTAGAGTGCCTGTATTTTTCCATGAGAAAAAGAAAGGGTTGGGGGAAGAGAGATTGGAGAGCATGACCTGAGCATGCCTTTGATCATAACCCTGGGCAGATCTAGGGCATTGAAAAGGGAGGATCAGGTAGTGTGGTGCATCATCACATATAACATGAAATATTTCTCTCCAGCTAAAGAGAAAATTTAATTATTTGATTATTAATGTATTAATATACTTGGGCCTAGCATTATATGTTTTGATTCATGATGAAAACAAAAACCAAAATAATGATTGGAATCACTAATCTGCTAGATTATGTATAAAGTTAAACACAACAAACAAGGAAAAAGTTGTCAAAATATATTGTAGCATTACTTTTGTAGTTATTACAATTAAATGGACATCTCTTATTCAAATGTTTCTTAATGTAGTCTTTTAAAATATTTGACAGTACCTACAGTACTTCACTGTCAGTCATTTTTATGCTTCAGTTAAGGTTTTTACCTAGAACTAAATACAGTCTATAGGGCTGTGAAATAGAACAGGAACATTACCAGGGAAGACTAACAGATAGAAAATCGCAGAAGAAAATAGGGTTTGAATAGTGGAGCATCAAGACCATTAAAAAGGAGAGAGGCTTGTTAATACCTGTGGAGTGGAGACAGATTAGCCAAATTAGTCAGGAAGATGATGATGAGCCCTGAAATCAACCGTCTCTATCAGTGCTGTCTGAATAGAAATGTCTCTGCCCCTTCCAGGTAGTTGGTTTTGAAGTTTGGACGGGCAGGAATTAAAGTGAGGTTCAGCTGCACCACTGCACACACCTTGGATCTGCCCCTGATTATAGCTGATTTATCTTCCTGAGGTGAGGTTAGGAAACTGTTTGGCAAATGTAATGGGGCAGATTTTGTAGAATAGGCTAAAAAAAGAAAAAAAGAAAGTACATAGTACTTGTTATGCTTACATAAAAGATCATTAAATGACTGAATAAAAACATAAGGTTCACCAGCTTTGCCTATGTAACCTTTACATTTCTATTATTCAGGAACAAGAAAAATCTTATAACAATATGCATATATGTCTATACATTTAGCTTATGCAAAACGATCAATTTCATTTTTTTGCTCCAACAAGGATATCATATATAATTATCAGTCTTCCTGTATAACCACATATTAATATAAGCTGATGATGAGCATCTTAAACATATGAAAATAGTCTATATAAAAAAATATTAAGGTGGAATTTAAAAAGCAAACTACTAAAACAAGAAGGGCTGTCACTTAAGATGGTTAAAAACCCTCAGGGTGAAAGGCAGTTCACCAAAACCAGAGAATCTCAATTTTCCACATGACAAGCTACCATCTCATTTATAATGATGTTTTAATCATACAACATCCATCCTTTTTAAAATGAAAAAAGTGCCTGAGTTCTAATGAACAAGACTTATATTGAACAATCCTGTCATTTCTTCCTTTAGCTGACAGATATTGCTGTTGGATTGCAAAGTTTCATTTAAGAGAAAGTTTTTGATAAATGTTTCCAATATGAACTAGTGAACAGTAGTCAGCTGTGATTATCCTTCAGTTCATTACAATCATACTTCTAACTTACATTGCTGACATCCTATTTCTGAAATGTATTTGAATGGATTAAATTGTTCTTTTTTGATTAGAAAGGCCACATCAAGCCAAAACCTTGAAAAGATGTCTTATAAAAATAGATGACATGAAGTTTTATTAACTTCTTTGTAGGGCAAGTATCTTCAGAAATTAAACAGGCACCAATAATGTTTCCAAGCCTTTGGGGTCGGGGGGGTGGGGGGGGAAGTTTTAGATCAAGTGCTATAAATACCTTTCTTCTCAAAGTTGGGTTTTGAAAAATCCAGCATGGGGAAAAAGAAAGAAATGAAAGTAATATGTTGTTTTAGAGTTTAAATAATATAATTATTTTGATATCAAATTATTCCAGGTAGTCAATTCATAAGATGATGGAGAGGAGCTGCAGAAAGATCTCACCAAGAAAACAAATGGGCAAGAAATTACATATGAACTTCAGTGTTGACAACTGTAAGGTAATGCACCAGGGGAAAAATAACCTCAACTGTACATACACCATGCTGACTTCTGAACTAGCTGTTATGACTCAGGAAAGAGACCTTGAAGTCAGTGTATATGGTTCTTTAAAAACCTTAGCTCAACGTGCAGCAGCAAACAAAAAGCGAATAAAATGTTGGATATCATTAAGAAAGGAAATGAAAACAGAGCAGAGAACATTATAATGCCATTATAAAAATCCATGGTGGGCCTGTATCTTGGATACTGTATACAGTTCTGGTTCCTGTATCTCAAAAAACAATGCAGTAGAATCAGAAAAGGTACAGAGGAGGGCAACCAAGATGATCAGGGGTCTGGAGCAGTTCCCATACCAGGAAATGCTTTAAAAGGTTATGGGTCTTCAGTTTGGAAAGAAGGCTAAGGGGGGATATGCTAAAAGTCCATCAAATCATGAAGGGTGAACAGGGAAGTGTTGTTCATCAAGTCCCAGAATACTAGCACTGTTGGGTCCCACTGAAAATAGTAGGCATCTCTAAACCAGTAATAGTGGAAGCCAGGAAGCCAGGGAGGCTATAGAATAGGGGATAGATCCCTCTAGAGATTTCTGGCTTGGAGCTTGCCCTGTACAGCATCCACTCCTGGCACTGTTGGAGACAGGACACTGGGCTAGATGGACCATTGCTCTGATACAGTATGACACCTTCTTATGTTCTTAAAATCTTAAAATTAAACCTCATATAGGAAGTAGCCATGAAATCCTGAGTCGCAATGGTGTAATAGAATGCTGCTCTAAGAACAATATAATGTTATGTTTCATATGAATTTCTAACTAAGTTGCTTACTGATTTCCAAAAATCTCACCCAATTTATTTCTTTAATATTAAAATTATAGCTAACTTGCATATACACATATATTTTAATATTAAGAAAATAATTGGGTGTATGCGTTGGTTTGTTTTGGGATTTTTTACTGATACATTACTGAAAATCTCACTCTTTC